GAAATCTTGTTCCGATTTTCAAGTGGAGTATTCTTTTTGAAAGGGAATCTGACTGGGGTGGTACTTTGAGGAAGTAATTTTTCGAGCGGTTTTCATAATAAATAGTAAAAAACGTAGGAAAGTAGGTATAATATTACACAAATATTATTAAAGCAAATATATAATGCATATGTAATTATTTTACCATAGCATATTATATTATATATTGTTGACAGAGCAACACTATTAACCGAACTCCATTCAGAATCGTTTTTTCGTTAGCAATGGTTAAGGGGGCTGGAGCTGGTACCAATAATCACGTAAAACAGGCCAAAAGCTAGAAAAAACTGTGGGACTTGGGTTTGACGGATTTTAATTTTGAAAACTAATTGAAAATCTTTAACAACTCTGCTAAAGCATGGTAGTGGAAATTTATCATTATTACAAAAATTAATGACGTTGCGTACAGATATACATTCAATTTCCTCTCTACCTTCCCAACTTTTCCCCCACAACACTGGTGTATCCACGTGCGAAGTATATCCGTTTTTTTAATACATGTTGCTAATTGAAAATCAGAAGTGGACAGTGTGGTTCACCCTCGAAAATAAAAGCCAGAAAAAATAACGGTAAATTAACATTTTAGAGCTTATTGTTTCTTAAATTCTCTAGAATGTCAAATTCCGAAAAAAAAAAAAAAAAAAAAACGTTAATATAATACTTTCCGGTATAACGAGTGCCTTACGTTATATGTGGATCACCCTGTATGGGCATATACCTATGTAGGTAAATAGATACAGATTAAACGAAAAAACAATTTAACTGCATTATTTGCGTAATATCTCTGCATCGTTATAAAGTAATATTTGTGTCGTTTTTCTAAGGTATGTTTTTTAATATTATCATCATATGCGCAAAGGAAATGATCACTGCTATAGTGTTATGTAAACAAACACCGTTACATCAACATAATAAACGTACGTACTCATATAGCATATGCAAACATTTTATACTAAAATATATACAATTAAACCCAACGTTTATCAATAATTTTTGCGATTTTCATTCTAGTTTCGTTAAGATTTAAATCTCTCTCAAAAAAAAAAAAAAAAAACCAATGCACATTTTTTTTTTTTTATGTGAGCGCGATAAAAACATTTATCTTTATGATGTACTTGCGTCAAACATTCGTGGTTGCTTTTAGCGTAAAAAAATGTGTACATTGATGTATAAATTGAAAAACGCGAAAATACGAAAGTAAGTCTGTCGGTTACGTTTTCACGTCTAAACCGCTGAACCGATTTTGATGAATATTTCAGTATAGCGACATTGGAGAAGAACATAGGTTACTTTTTGTTACGAAAATTTTGTCTACTCGAAAGGAATGAAAGGTTTTTAGGTATTTTTGATACGAAAATCAAATCATTTTTGTTGAATCATGGATTAGAACCTTAGTAACACGGATGAAAAAAAAAACAATTTATGATAAACAGAAATAAAAATGCCATAACAACTATAACAACTTGAAATAAAGAGTCTATTTGACTGGCTGTCGGTCTATTATTGGCTTAGAATAGGATAGACTACCTCGGTGACATGGATAAAAAAAAAACTATGCACTGTATCCTACTGGGTGGGTAAGTGAAAACATGTAAAACGTCATCTATGAATCTTTGTATATTTTGATACACTAATAACACTACAATTCTACTATGTTCTCATAATTTTAGCGTTATTTTAATGGATCTTAGAATAATACTATAGTTTAATTCCTGAGTTGCGTGGGTATCTATAGTAAGACGGATGAAAACATGTATGACACACTGGAATACTTTTAGTCCGTGAACTATCCACTTTCCACTTATTTTCTTTCGTTCGATATATTGATGTGGGGAAATTAAAACAGGAATAAAGATAAAAAGAATGAAAAATTGGCGTTGGCACAGGATAGCTGGTATAGTAAATAACTTAAACGACAGATTATTTCGAAAATTTGATCACGCTTAGAAAACATACTGGCGTATATAAGTTATTCGGTTTAAATTTCAACCCTAACATTATTTCTTATTGAACTACAAAAACAAAAAAAAAAAAATAGTCGATTCTAACAAATTCCCATCGGAAAAACAAACCACTGCATTATAATATCATAGTAAAATCAATACAATTTACACGGAGATGCCTTAATATTAATTATTATTATACATTATATTGCAGGAGAAATTTCAATTTTCAACAAATTTTAGATTCTGAACGGAGTGAAAAATGTTTTTTTTACTAACAGTTTGCAACATGTTAGTTTTTAGGAACTGGTTTTACTATGTGTTTTTTTTTTCTGTCCGTAAACAATTTTTGTTTACTAGAAATCTCGCTTCAATCAAAAAATGCCAAGATTCATTTCTCGTCGCCTTTGAGTTTTAATTTGATTTGCGAATAAATTAGTCATTTTCGACTTTACAATAAGCTGTAATAAAACTAATCGGGGGAAAACCGGAAAAAAGATGTAAAATAAAAACGAACGAGTTAACAGCGTTACGATTTCATTATTTTAAATGTGTACGATTTACATTTTCGAGTAGACATTTTGTTTTAATCGAAAAACGACAAGATAACTTTTTTGTTGCGTTTTGTTTATAATTGTTTACAGATAAATCGACAGTGAGCACCTATACCTGTATACCGTATTGATGTTTTCGAAATGTTGATTAAACAAAACAAAAAAATTGTTTGTATCATTGTTGCAACATTCGCCATATGTTACATAAACCGAGTGCGTAACACGGCCGAACGGTTTAATAATTATTTTATTAGGCATTTGTCCAGAAGTTATTCAACAAGTAAGTATTATATGTAGGCAGTTATAGGTGTACGTTTCTTCATATTATTCTATTAATTTCGGTTATTTGACACTTCAATAATAGTGCGTCATATAATGACAGTAGTTTTCTATGGGTTACACGTACACGTGTGTGTATATATATATATATATATATATATATATATATATATATATATATACACTCACAATATTGTAGGTATAGAAATACTAAACGATTAAATAATATGCTGGTAGTCTAATGTTCCGAGCATTTTACCACCCAATGCGCGTACTCGGGACTCGGGATATTATCAAAATAATACAGGGTGTCGTACGAAGATATACCCATTGTATAATAAATAGATAATCAAATTCTGTTTTTTTTTTTTTTTTCTTATATTATTCACTAGGGATAAGGATTACACATATTTGTATTACGATTCATTTTTTATGTTTTGGTTAACAATTTAAAAAAAATGACTTAATTTTATTATTTTGAAAATGTTTTATTTTCGTTAAATTCGTGATTTTTAATCATTTTTCAAAATTCAGAGAAAAGAAGTGTACAGTCAATAATTAATGGCAATAATAATAGTAATCAAATATAGTACGCGATTTAAGCCTGCCGAACAATATTATAGGCATTAGGTACTTTTCTTTGAACTTTGAAAACTTATTAAAAATCACGAATTCAATGAGAATAAAAAGTTATTCTTTTCCAAGTTTTTTGTCAAAGTATAAAAAATTAATTGCAATTTAAGTATTTGAAGTTCTCGTGCTTGTGAGAAAAAAAAAACAGAATTTGATTATCTCTATTAACTCCAGAGATATTACAATGGGTATATCTTCGTGGAACACCCTGTATATTACATTATAATACTTATACGGCAATATTATCATATTTACGTGTAGTTTTGCAGTTTTCTCTGGGAAATTATAATATTGTATTCTTCGTGTATACATGGGAAACAAATTGTGTTATATACCAGATACATCATAATAATAATGACCCTAGTCGAATTAACTATATTTACCGGTTTTAATAACAACGATTGTAGTACATAGGCACGTTGAGTCGATGACCATATTATTACCATAATATTATCATATAATATATGTTAGCAAAATACCTACAGCGGCATATAATTTATAAAAATAAACGTAATTTACATATTGTACCTACTGTCCTCAATCATTTTCGGTGGTTGGGTTCCGGGAAAATATGAAAATCGCTGTGACGGTACGTACCTATAAAATATAATATTATGTTAAGTTTGTTCACTAAATTTATAGGCCACAACGCGAACAAATAATATTATAACCACGGTCAACGACTGCAGAAGCAGTCCGAGTAGAAAGTCAAGTATGTTTGTACATTTTAAATTTTTAACGAGTGTATTTTCGCGGAGTAGGTATAAACTATAAAGCGCAATAATTGAATATTTTAAAAATCTACACACCTATGGTAGATAACCGCGGTCTAGACCTTAATATTATCGTTATGGATAAAACTTAGACGCATTATTTATTTAAATGCAAACCATAATTTAATTCAAACGTGTTAAACGTGTTATTTATTTACGTTATGTAACTGTATTGAAGTAAGGTTTAGCAACTCGTCTGTTAATCAATTAAAATTGAGTTACCATTTACGGTTAAACGTTGAAATGTATTATTTTGTAACAAAGAAATGAGCATTACACCAAACAGTCATTCGAACCGTAATACAATTTTTTTTCCGTCAAACTTATCAATATTAAATACAAAATGCAATTAGTAACGTAAAAAATAAAAAGACGATAAAATAATGAGTGAAACCGTGTGATTATCAATAATAATATGGTAATATCTTCTGCTGGTAAAAAAAAAAAAAATGGTTACTCGAGAACAGCGATAATGTACTTATAGGCCCGAGTGTTAAGGCATTGAACAGAATAGATATGGAATAAAAATGAAAGTAGCAGAATAATAGAAATTAGATTGTTGAGTTTGACGTCTGAACAGGTTGGATAGGATTAAGAATGAATGCATAAGTCTAAGAGTAGCGGGTCTAGCAGGAAAAGTAAGAGAGAATAAGTCGAGATTTGAGATAGTGCGGACGTGTCAAGAGAAGGAGAAACGATAACGAGAAGACAAGTTAAGAAGACAGGTGAGTTAAGTGTAGATCGGACAAAGAAAGTGGCTTTAGGTTATTAGGAGAGATATGAAGGTACATGGGATAGCTGAAGAAATGGCGATGGATAGCCGTCAGGGAGACGCGAAGAGAGCGAAAACGAGAGTAGCATGGGATAATGCCGAAGAGAAAAAAGGTGAATTTTTAATTTCTTACGTTCGGGTTGACATTTTTTTTTTAGTCAATATTTGTTTAATTAGTTTTGGTTTTTGGTAGGCGAGAAATGGGAGATCTTTTCGTCAACAATCGCCGCGGAATTAGTTTATTCGTTATTGTTGTTATTTTTTAAATTCATATCGTGTCCCACAATATGGTAGGTAATAAAAACCGGGGGATTTGATTTTTTTTTTTTTTTTTACAGATATTAATCAGACTGTTTATGCGCCGCTGAAACCTATACGTTTCATACATAGGAATGAAACGCCATAAACTTATGCGCGTAATATTTTACCGCGAAAATGTTTATTAATTTAATATAATATCAGTAGTACAGTGATAATTCGAATTGGTATCTAAACGACGTGTACGTTTTATTCGTAAACGATCGGAACAATATGCGAGTAAAATGCTCGAGTCTGTGCGAAAAAAGAAATCGTTCTGAAAACTTATGATGCCATGTTGCCGTGACCAACTTTGAAAAGTTTTACGTTCACTGCAGGGCGGCGCGTAGGAACGATTATCGAACCGATGTTTAATATACACCCGGTATAATAATAATGGTTAATACCTATACACGCGTACGGTTGCAAAAGTAATATTGCATTATTACTTGTACTATTATTATTAATATTATTACGTTACGATCGATTCACGGACTAACGCGAGATTAAAAATACCGTGTATACGCGCAATAGACGTTATTTAGTATTTGTTTTATTCTCGTCGACTAACACTCGGGAATAAAAATCGTTAGGCCCAATGGTTATTAGTCGACTAATCACGTTTACGTTAAACTGGTTTCGTTTTTTCACAATCAATTTCGATTCAGGGCCGCCGAAAATCGAAAAATCGAGACCATTGCGGCGACGTCCAAAACAACCGGATCCGGCGAATCCGTTACAACTCAAATTCCGTTTGTTATAATGATCAGACGGGATAACACGAACGTGGGCGTTTTTTTTTTCTACTGCTGTCGAGTAAATCGAGTACGCCAAACTTTTCGGCCGGTCCGATGAATTTTAGATTTTTTAATGATTGTATTGGTAAACCGGCAAAGTATGTTTAAGGGTACGCCACGGCCGTATTAATTATTGCGAACTCTACCGGAAATATTGAAATACGACAAGAGACCTTTATCTTTTGTTACATTTTGGATCTATATGCTCACAAATAAAGTCACTTTTTGATATTCCAAGTAGTTTTCATAATAATTGGGAAAACTGGAAAAACACGAAAAATGAAAGACGAACAAATTTACGGCGCGGCGTACGATTTCATATTGTTTTAAATTTCTACGACTTATGTTTTTCATCGAAAATATTGCTCCAAAAGAAAAAAAACAATTGACCTTTTTGCGTAGCATTTTTAATCTTGTGATGTAGCGAGTAAAAAAGTTATATTTCGTTTTCTTTTTTATTTTTTCTAGTGATTGAGCAAAACAGAAAAAAAAAATCGTCTTTTTACGTTATTTTACCTAACCGGTAAATTTACTACTTTTAATATTTTCAATTTTGTTTTTGTTGTAATTTAGTTTAAAATATTTTTAGACTTAAAATTTTTATAGGAAATTCATAAATGCTTTTCCTAGACAGAGTAAAATTTTCAAAGCATTTAAGGCCATTTTTGAACTATTTATAGACATTTTGTGAGATTTTACGTAATTTTTATTTGATAGGTACTCGTGGACAAAATCGTTAGATACACTGAACAGAAACGCTTCACAATTTGATAGGAGGTTCATTAATAAGTCATACTTACTAGCGGTCCGAATAAAACAAATTGAGCTTTATGTAGTATTTTTTTTTTATAAAAGAATTTGAATATCAAATTTCGACGAAAATCGTAAAAGGCCGTAATCCTTTCAAAACATGTATAATCGAACTTCGCTCCGAATCATTTTTCATTATCAATGGTTTATCGTTGGGTACATGTAAAAATTAAATAACTTTATAGGATACAAAAAGTTATTCTATAAAGTATCCTATGTTCCCAACTTCCTACCTATAACGGTGGCGTACTCGTCTCTTGTATCTGTTCTTTTATTATAAATTTATTTCTTTACCTATACTCGTAGATTCGATACAAAGTTTAGACAATTTCAACGAAATCCGTGAAAATCGGCGAAAGTTTGTAAATTAATATTTTAATTTGAAATAATTATATTATTATTATTATGAAATATTATGCGGTAAATACGATGCCAGTATTTTATACTTGAACCGTACGATAGTAAATTTATCATTATTATTCACGTATCCGTAATTTGAACCCGAGTTATTTTTTTTAATGCAGACGATTTTTAATTCGTGTCAACCGTGTTACCTTTATGCATCGACACCTCGTAATCTCGCAGAACACACAATATATTTTATTTGTAGAAAGGTGTTCGTACACACGATGGCGAAGAGAGGAAATATTTATAAACATGTTTAATACTTTTCGTTTTTCGAAATTTAAATAATATTTTAATGCTGTTGTTTCCGAAGCCCGCGACGTCGACGCTCGTTCGCTGGGTAGGTATTTATCCGTTTTAGACAGTTTATCGGAATCGTTTTATTCCTTCAATTTATTTAATCTCGTGAATATTGGACGCTTACCATACACCTACACGCCTATACCCACGCATTGTAAACCGTGTTTGCTTTGTTTTCAATACATTTATCAACCATCGACCGGACACTAATAATGTTTCGTGTACACGCGAAATGATGGGAAATGTAGATTCATTTTTCTACACGGATAAAAATACACCTTAATAATGTAGCATAAAAGTCGCGACGAGCGACGACGGCGACACGTCTCCCGCGGAATTTTACGGAGTCAGAGCCCGGATCGCGGGCTAGTGGTTGTGAGTTTTTTTGCAGGTTTACGATACACGCGCATTAATGACTGTTGATTAATGTCGATTTATTAAATCCGTTTTCGAAAATTAAATAAAAATCAAAGGCAATCGAAAGAAATAGAATAATAAACAAGTAACGATAAATTACCGTATTGCATGCTATAAATAAATAAGAACAACAACTCGTCGACTACACTGTCATCGTCATATTGATACAATTAATAGAATAATATCGCCACAACCTGAAAGTTCTCGACAAAGTACTCATCATTTTAGGGTTATTTTAGTGGATGTATAGTTTAATCCATGTGTTGTGCGGGTATCTATGGTAATACGAATGAAAAAAACTTATGATACGCTAGAACACTTTTAGTCCACGCACTACCCAATTTTCACCTATTTTTTTAGTGGAATATACAGATACGGACAAAGTAATACGGAAATAAAGGTAAAAAGAAGGCAACACCGGGCATGGGTCAACTACTATAATAATATATATGTATAAAAAGACAGACATACTTCGCATGTGGGTGAGCCACTGTTGTAGATGAGAAGTTGAAAGGTAGGGGGAAATTGACTGTATATCTGTATGCAACGATTAACCGTTGCTACCGAAAAATGATTCTGAGCGAAGTAATAGCGTTGATTTGTTAACACCCGAACATAAACCGAATATGTCATATTATGGTAAAATAATTACATATGCATTATATATTTTCTTCAATAATATTTGTTTAATATTGTACCTATTGTCAGAAAAGAAAAAAATAAACATTAATGTAAAATCAATACATTCCTCGCTCCTCTAAGAATCTAAGATGAAATGAGAAATGTTGTAATGGAAAACCTAAACGGCGGCGACGGCTGCGTGAAAGCAATCCGAGACTTTTATTAGTAGGCTCTTATTTTTTTTCGTTTTGTTATAGATTTATGTAGGAAACTGCGAGGCGTAATAATTTTCCGGCGTAACAAGGTCTCGTTACATTTTATACGCTCGTATATTATAAAGTCATAAATTACAACAAATAGATAGGTAGGTAGGTAGGTAGGTATACGTGTATAGATAGGTACGTCGTGTTAAAAAACTCACACACGTACACACACGCATACGATATTTCAAATTTGACGTATACCTGCTCGTTGTATTATAATAATAATAATAATAATAATAATAATAATATTATTATTGTATGCGTACCTTGTTATTACATTGTAGTAACCCTATTATTGTACCGACCGAAAATTCAATATTTACCTACCCGTAGGTATACCATCGAGTTTAATGGATTAAAAAAAAAAAACACCCAATGTCCGCAGTTATTCATCGCGTATCGAAATCCAATACCACCAGATTACGACGTTACGCACATTGTATCTTGCACGACGATCGATTATCAGCAGATCACAACAATGCATAGGTTTCAGTGTTATCGTATATAAATATGCATAACACACTATTACTCGTCGGTACACCAGGTAAGACGTGTCAATAATAATCAACTGCGATGATTGTTGTTATCGGAAGTATCGTTTCTACCATAGATACCGGACAGTCTTTATGATATTATCGTTATTATTACGAGACCTTCGAATGCGGTGCAAACTGGTTGTCCCCTTCTCGACGTTCGCCGCGCCGATCGCGCCGACCGGTGACCACGGACTCCCGGCAGAGACTCGCGCACTGTTAATCTGTTCGTACCGTTTGAGTCAGCACCACATTACGCTAACGGGTAAGTTTGACGTTTTCGATTTTCTAATTACTATCAATATAAAACATGTACGTTTGTATATTTTTAACATCTAAAGTATAAGTATATAAAATATGATAAATTGGGAATAGTGACATCAATTTTTTTTTGTACATTTCTCGTTCACCGTCATAAATAAACGAGAAAACGTTGAAAACGGTAGGACCTATTTTGCATAGTTTTTATCGAAATAAATGTTTCGCATAACGAACGCGTAGCGTATAGTAATATGTACTTGAAGTAATAAAAAAAATCAAAAACCGCAACGATACATTTCGAAATATTATGACGGGTTTTTTTACGTGAAAAATTCGAAAATAATCGCACACCTGTACTTGTGTTCAGTGATGTTCGATTGGGTATTCTATTAATAATTTATCTGTAGCTGTTATCAACAATGATTTTCTGATTTTTAGCGAATTTAATTTCTGTTTTTTTTTTTTTTTTTTTTTCAATCACTATATGAAATGAGCTAAGATTATTATTTTTGAACATTACTTTAAACTGTCTACCCCGATTCCTTCGCGATAAATGAACCAATCTGATATATTAACAATACGCATTATTCTATACACACGATCGAATTGAGTATTAATTACAATGCTGTAAAAGTACGAATTTCATGAAAATATTCGGTTTAGCGAATGTAACATTTTTACGCGCCACACACGTGTAGGCATTATTTCGACAACACAATGTTTATGAGGTAAAAAAAACGTTATGTAGGTTAGGTTTGCTTCGATGAAATGTTCAATCGTTTTATTTGTGGCGATTTCCGGGGGCTTTAGTGCCCTGGCCTCTCTAATTGCGACAGTGTCTCGTGTTCTGTGATTTTTATCTATCGATTCGTCGCTGTGGTTAGACGCCCATTTACTGATCGTTTAATTTATTTTGATTTTATTGAATACAAAGTAATTCGCCGGTCAAAAGAACAATAATTTCAAAATAAAAACAAAATAGAGATTATATACTATATTATACGGAGATCGGGAATATGTACTTATTACTCTCGTACAGCGGGCTATTCTACACGTCACGTTTGTTGGATGATTTAAAATATGGGTCATTATAAAACGAGCAGGGAATATTGGTAGGCAATTATTATCAAACGAATAATAGGTGTGTAATGTGTGTGTTTTAAAAAAAAAAAAAAAAAAACATTAAAATTAGACATGTTATAGGCACGTTAAACGTTATAGCAAACGAAAAATATAAAATAATAATTATGTAACTAAATAAATTACTCTTTGGCCTGTTATCAATGTTGGGGCACTTATCGATGCACTAAATATAGTCGTGTACCCCCCACGTAGTGTTTTCTTGTGAAATTGCAGGTGAAACGCAATTCTCGGTGCATATAAATAGAAAACATAAACAGCAAAGTTTAAATAAACGCGATAATTATTATCGCGTTACTGTTTTATAATAATTATAAACCAGTTTCAAATGTTCTGATTTATAACCAATAATAATGTCCTGAAATTAATCATCGTATATGGGTTATGCAGATGGCAGATTGCGTATGCATCAAGTATAGGCGTGGATGCAGAATAATAATTATTGGAAAATACTCGTTATCTTTACGAATGTGACTTTAAATCGACATTTTATGATTTTCTCAAATTTCAAATTAGGCACCTATCTTAAGTCCGTTCTCACCAAGTTAAAGGTTGATTTTTAAACGGAGTTTATAAGATTATCGACTAATCGTGGTCGGTTATCGGCCATAAACTCAGTTTAAGAATAGGATAAACGCCTTTTTTTTTTTTACGTTGGTAAGAACGGCCCTAAATATTGTTTGGCGGTGGAACCACAACTTGTACTTTTTGTCGTAGCTATATATTAAAAATCTAGTAAATTGAAAAAAACAGAAATGTTCTTGTTGGCATTTTTCTATTCCATATTTAAAGAATGAGACGTTCCAGCTGAGCAGTGATAGTATCGTTAACCGTGCGGATAGTGCTCTGCGTGAGAACTTGGCGTTAAAAAAAAATCACACTGTATCGGTACCTCCAAAACATACTGTATAGTTGAGAATTCGAATAATTTAAGAAGGGACCCGGGAATATTTGTCATTTTATCTGATATATTTGTAGGTATACCAGATACCAACTTGTATAGTACTACAATGTGCTATATATCTTTGGTACGTATTTAGTGAGACGGATATCAAAAAATGTTGCCTATGCGTTGTGTAGTTCACCGATTTCGTTGTCAACGGTCTTTACTCTTTATCGTATAATTATAATAATATACAGAGTGCGGCAAAAGGCGGTATCGATTTCGTTCGAAATATCCGACTGTGAATCGATTTTTTTTTTAAAAAAAACCTAATTGTTTTAAATTAATTATTTTTAAAAATTATAATTACGAGAACGTTGTTTAATTTTGTCCGTCTAACGTATACGCATAATACATGTACTCAATTTACTTTAACCCGAATAATAGAGCTTTTTCATTTTTTTTTGATTTTCTTTTCATTTATAGACACGCGGAGTTGATCAACTATACAATTTAACGATAGTAATCTTATTAAATGCAACTAGCGTTCTATAATTGGTTTTTTGTATTCAAAAACGAGTTATACAAGTTTTAAATATTGAAAATCTCTTTTTAAATTATAAAGTCTCTAAATATTTGTTTTCGTATACCTACCAAAATATATACTATAATATTATGAATAAATCATTTTGGTTTCGAAATGCAGATCTTTTGACGGACTATTACCGGACGTTCTATAGCGCACCTACCTATATGTATATATTTACATATTTAATATTTGTTTTTTGGAGGACATCACCGATAATATAATGTAATAATACAGGAACATAGCCAAAAAGGGTGTTTTAGGCGTTAAATATCCCTCTCCTCCCCCCTCGGTCGGATTCAAGCCAAAATATACTCTATAGTATGGTGTATTTTCAAGCAGGTTCACCCCATTTTTATGGTCAAATTATACATGTAGGTATTTAAATTCTGTTTTTTGGAAATTTTAAGTGTAGTTAAAGACGATATTTTCGAATACTTAGATTTATCACAATATTTGGCGATACCGAATTAGGTTTTTCAAATGAGAAATCTCAACCAAAGTTGAGATCATTATGGGATAATCCTCAGATGGTGTGGACAATTATTCAAAAATATCGTTTTTAACAATTTAATATGAATTATCAAGTTAATATAGTTAATTAGTACTTAAATATAGTAAATAAAATAATAATAATTTCTTGCCTGAGCAACAGTGAGTATCTTAAAATTTGATAAAATATATTATTGTGAATATTAATAAAGCAAGTAATTTCGAGTATTTATTCATCTGGGGAATATTCTGTGAGCTTAGAGGTTACACTGTAAATCATAAAACGATCACATCATTTGTACCAAAATTTTTCATTTTCTAAAATGTTTTTTGATCGTCCTCTAAAACTAAAAAACTGAGATACGCGCTGTTTAACTTTAAGCTATGTACGTAAAGCTACACACCTAGTTATTTGATTCCAATGATAATTTTAGAGCAGATCGAAAGGTACGTTACCCTGGTACTATACTATGTCATAATTTTGACTTGGAACCATCTGGTATTGTGTTATTTGTTTTAAAATAATTTTTAACAGCAAAAAAACAATTTTGTAACTACCCTAAAACGCCAGAAAATAGGTTTTTCTAGTGGTCGTGTCAGGGTTACGTTAACGCGGCATTAACAATTATAAATAATGGACATTCCGATTTCGAAACCGGTTGGTATTTTGTTCGGTATTTATTATGTAATAATTTGTGAGCACGAAAAAATTTGTAACCACCCTAGAACGGTAAAACAAATAGGTTTTTCCAGTAGTAGCATATTTATCAATACGATTTTACGACTCGTCGGAGGATGGGTGAAAAAGTCATACTCGAATGTAAAATTTAAACACCCCCATTTAAAAAATCCAGGCTGCGCGCCTGTAGATCCATTTATCAAATTTAAAAAATAGATATAACTATTACTCGTCATGACATTAATGTTTATGCGCCGTATTATTATATTAACGTTAATGTTATACATTTCGTTGGTATTTCTATTAATGCGATACCTATCTCAACATCAATAAACCGTGTAATAATCCGGACCTTGACCGATCTTTAACAAGGTATAGTGTTTTTTTTTTTTTTTTTTTTTTTTTTTTATTTATTTATTGAACTCCTACTTATTTGTATTTACACTGTTTCAGTCACTGTGTTATTATAATATTTAAAAAAAAAAATACCTTGAACGGTTACTTTAAGGTGAAATATTAAGTATTAATCATTGCAAATACATTTAATTACAAATATTTCTCGGAATTATTGTATTTATATTTTTACACTGCGGCAGATCGTATAAAAACGAGCATAATGAATTTATTATATAATTTTTTTTTTTTTTTTCGAAAATGTTAAACAAATTATGGACGCGAAGATATTTTTAAATTTTCAAAACACGTTAAATTTCCTCGAGGACCACTAACGCTAAAATTATCGATTCCGCAACGTTAACGAATTATATTTCACTTACTTGACCAATAACGTGTATAAATAATAAATCGCCCCGACCCGATTCTCAATCAAGTCGACATTATTTATGATTGCAAAACATTTTCCAGTATCGAAATTCGACTGTCCTCCTAACTCCTCTACGGTTTCATCCCGTTTTCGGGCGTCGATTTTTCACATTGGCGTTGATTCCCACCCAAAACTACGTCCGCAATAATATACACTGCAACAACGACCGTGTTGTACCTATTCTCGCGCCATCATCTATCATTGCGACATGCAACGTCATGATAATATATTGTTACTTTTCCGCTGAAAATATTATCGTTCTTAGACATTCGACCGTTTTCAATAAATTTTCCTCGACGGTAATGCGTGTAGGTGACAAATTTCCGTGGCGTGCGACGCTTTTTCAAATTTTGACAATTATTATTAATCAAGCGTTTCAAAAAAAAAAAAAAATCTAAGAATTACATAGGTACAACGTGTGGTCGGGAAAAATTGTATTATAACATATTGTATGATTCACTAGGAATCACACGTATTCTATTTCGTTACGACAGGTTTGGGCGCTCGTTTTCCGAATTCGCAACAAATCATCGCAAGCGATTCCGAGCGGAGTTCGGTTAAAGATGTTTTGATAAAGTTAAAATTGAAATTTTATTAATTCGTAAGTGAAAACATACATCGTAATTGTTCTAAACGAATTTTATCGTATATTTGAACTCAAAACGCCTATAAAAAAAATAACGACTTTAGACTAGCTTTTTTTTTTGTCATCATAAAGTATAACTTAATATATTTGTTCCTCATCGTCCAACAGTCTCCTATAAATTCCAGGTGGAGCGCAAATATCTCGATTTGTATAGTTATTTTTTTAAATTTTTAAATTTTCTACAACAACTATCAGCAAAATATTAATTGTTGTAGCGTCTAAAATTAAAAGAATATAAATATGTTTTTAATCTATACGACTCTTTATAAGTTCGGCTGTCTTTTCAGTCAAATCTTATCATATTAAGTATGGGAAAATACTAATATTTAATCATGTGCGATTATATTTATATGGTTTATTATATTATAATATCTTATCATTGGTTGTAAATAGTATAGATAATTCACTGGCCGATTTTTTGGTGATGCGAAATAAAATTCCCGATAGGTGGCCATTTAAGAGAACCAATTTGGGATTTTATTTCGGACGCCGTACATTAAGATAGGGTATAGAAAACTAATCAACAGACTCATCCAACAATTCGGACGTTAATAGAAAAAATTGCATTGAGAAATGTAATATTCAAGGGGATGAAACTAAGATTGCTCCGAGAGAATATTAGGGGATCGACTAACCCTCACGTAGTAAAACAAAATCGATCAGCTAAGAAAACAAAACGAATAAACGTGATAGCCGGACGTGAATGATACGAACACGGACAACGTTACATCGAAAATAATTTTTGAATTTCTATTTGGAATGTACATAAATAAAACACCTCGCAAAAATGCACATAATTCGCATACGATAAAATATGAATAACAACGATAGTATACAGAATATTCAACGTATAAATGAATGTATGTACTATATTTTATTGCTAGACGTGATGTTATTCGTCTTAGGAACCTTTCGATTCGGCTATATTTTTGTCCGTGAACGTTTTTGAACCCGGCGTTGTACTAATAACAATAATGCTATAACAATATTATTATTATTATTACGATAGTCTGTCAGTCAGTCTGACGGATATCCGCGGTCAATCTTCATTGTTGTAGCGTTATTGTTTCAGCGGTACGCGCGCCGAAATATGAACTCGCATTATTATCGCCGGTACATCCGTGATGTACATATTGTAGGCGAACGAAGTACAAATTTCGCTGACTTCGAACTTTGTCGAAAACATATAAAAAAAAAAAAAAAAAGCCTTTTGCAAAAATACGGATAGATAAATAAACATGTCCGGACTGGGTATTGAACTCCGCGCCGGCGATTGACATAATATACAAAGGGCGTCGGGCCTAATAATCTTTTCACGTAATATCGATTTTACGGAAACGGGGCCTCGAATGAAATAAAATCGTACTTTCGGTCGAAATATATTATATTATGCAGGTATAACATTTTGCATTATAATAGTAAGGCCTATTGATTTCGACGTAAACACGGTATCCGTAAAATATAAAGGCTTCCTTTAAATTTTACACAGTAGTAAATATCGCATCTATGTGCAGGTTCACATTATATTAGGTCTGTTTGAAATTTAGTTTTTAATACTATCGTACCTATTGTATTACATATGTGTTTTTACTCTAATTTAGTTAAACGAGCGGCAGGGTTCCGTCACTAGTCCAATTTTCTTACAGGTTATAATATTTCACGGAATTGGAAAAAAAAAAGTTTTATCAAAATAGGTAAAGTAATTCTCGAGATTTTCGCTAACATATTATACAAAGAGACGGCAAGGTCGGGTAGTTATAATACATTTTCTATTTATATTATCTATACACACATTTTAACCATATAACTTACTTTTATGAGTCTGTAAGAGTATGTAAACTCCCGTATTCTCTATGAAAATATGAAATCTAAGCATGAAAGTGGTTGGGGAGGGGGTTTAAAGTTGAAACAATTAAAGCACGTTATTGATACTTACATCAGGCAAAATTTTTGGCTTCATTTAGGAGCTTTATAGGGGTAGCTTTAAAAACAGCGTTGTCTCCAAACAATATGGTATAGTTCATATTAAATATCTAAATTCAATACAAATTGTATTTCTTCATCTGAATATAAAAACCCCTAATTCTCGAGTTAACTCTATTGGTCCTGAGGGAGCGACTAAAAATGTCTAAAAGTTTACGAAAAAAAATACATCCAACACAGCGCAATAATCTCTATTTTCGGGGGAAAAAGTCGAGCTGTCGTGTGCATTCACTAAAAGGCTTCATACAGACATGGCCGCATAGGCTATTGTCAGTCTCGAGTGAGTACAGGCCAGTCTAGAATATAGGCCGGCCTGACCCTGTAGATGGGTATAATAAGGCTGATAGGTATAACATAGAGCCTGTATTCAATGACCGCTTATATTGTTTGTTTGTTTTTTTTTTTTTTTTTTATAGTAGATTATAATAATATCGTAATAAATATTTTATTACAATATTATTATAATGTATAGGCGGCACGCGCGAACGGTTTGAACACCGGAAAACGTCGACACAATGGGAATTATTATGGTACACCGCGTATTTGTTCCTACCTATAGGCTATAATTTTATTAGAATCGGAGATGTTAAATATAATGGATATGGCATTGAACACGAATTTGTACGAGAACACAGTAAATAATATTACTATCACTATATCTTACACAACTATCGCTTTTTTGTCGCACGGTTCCGTCGAGAAACATTGGTTCTCTTTTCTTCCTGATAGACGCCAAACCTGGGCAAGCTGACTAATTTTATTTTAACTAGTTTGAGTTAAGTCAACCTAAAAAAAACCGAGCCAAATTACAGTTAATTTTAAAATTTAAATAAACCGTGAGTCGTGATTTTTTAGAAAAACGATTATCAAGTTGAAATTTAAAAGTTTTTATTTAAAAATAACCTTTTACTATACACTGTCTTAACAAATCTCGCATTCTCATAATAGACACTTGAATTTTTTTTTTTTTCATTGGGCAGGTACGAACTTAATTAAAATAAACAGATTTTTCATGAACAATTTTCCGAAAAATGTGTTTTAATATAACAACGGTGGCTTGGTCGGGTATAAATATTGTTATCAAATTAACATCCCTCATAGATATATTTTATATCCATGGTCTTTTAATAGTTTAGTATATAGATAATGTATATATATTTTATATTATCTGTGGTTTAATATTATTATTATAAAATTATGTGACTTAACGGCCAGATTTGACTTGCATAAATGCAAAACACGTTTTATAACAATAAATTGATAACAGTGATAATTCTGTTTATACCTCAGCAAAGCCACCGCTGTTATCACATTAAATGAATCCGAAAATTGGTTTAAACAATCGAATAATTTTAAAATTAAATAGTAAATTATTTTAAGTATATAGGAAAAAAATAACTTTACATTACTATTATTCGGGTTATTGTTTATCGATTTGAATTAGTTTCCAAGGGGAAAAAAAGTGAACACAAATTTCCTATTATAGTATAATTTTTTTCGAAATAACTTAAATTTTAGCAAAGTAACCAAGCATTTTAAAATGGTTCCCGCGGTCCAACTTTGATAGTATTATTAAACGTATGCACGTCGTGTTCCGTAGAGAACCCGCATCCGAATACGGGAAATATCGTGTCATTCAGTAAAAACGCTGTCCGGGATATTCGATTCGGGGTAAAGGTCCAATAGTATGTTTAATTACTACGAATATAATAAAACGCATAAAACATAATAATATAATATATTTTATTGTGTATGTTGGGTACCCACCGTGTATTATGGTGCAGTGAGCGCGGAAAGCGGCCGAGACCTTGTACCCGCGCCGGCATGACCATAATTATTATAATTTATAATAACGACATTACGTATTATGCGTTTACAAGAGAACATAATATTCGGTTTTATAATATTATACAAAATGTGTACATTTTAATATTTTATCTATATTACATTATGTAACCGAATAATCGAAAATAACAATAATCGTAATTCCGTAAATCTTCCCAATTTTTTTGCCGTTATTATGAAAATTTCAAGGGATATAAAAAAAAAAAAGTCACATTTAATTCAGTTAAATCTGAGATATATTTCTAGGGGGAAAAAAAATAGAGTAAAACAATTAGTGTCTACCTCTGTGTACATTTGATTACCTATTATTTCAGCGATTGATTATCGAATATTGTTTATTTACATTCATAGTGTGATTATGATTTTGTAGTAGGAATAGTATTATAGAATTCTATAATATCGATAGTTTTTTCAATTAAATACTTCACTAGCCATTTTTCCGCAATGGTTTTTATGGCGTTTAATTCCGGGACCTAATATTGTAACGGTTGTACTGACGTCTTACCATGTGTGTTTTCAGGTGTATAAAGATGGCCAGACTAGCGTTTGCGATATTGGTTTTGGGATGTTGTACGTGCGCCGTGTGGTCGATAAACGACCGGCTACAGGAGGTGTTTAGCTGGTCGCAATTGGACTTTGTGTTCCCGGACCAGGAAACCAGGGAGGCGGCCATCGCCAGCGGCGAGTACATACAGGCGAACAACATGCCGCTCGGCCTGGAGGTGTGGCGGGACAAGTTGTTCCTGACGGTGCCCCGGTGGAAGGCCGGGGTGGTGTCCACGCTCAACTACGTGACTCTCGGAGCGGGTAATTACAATAATATATTACTATTCGAGATGTCCCACTGACGACGATAGCAACAGCAACAATAGTGATAAGGGATGAGAAGTTGTACGAACAAAATTCTACAATGATGTATTCAAATAATATTTCTTAAAAAGAAAAACCAACATTAGTACGAAATATGAAAATGTAAGGCCTTATAGTCTTACCTAATTTCCTCCCCCATTCAAAAAAAAAAAAAAAATTAATACGAACATAATAGAAAACATTACTACACGTTCAGTAAAATGGTAAAATTTCTGACGCCTAACCTAACCTTCCTGACGCCAATTAATCAGATAAAAAGTATAGGATATCTTCATGCAATTATCAAACAACATCACCACTGTTGTGCCAAGATCTGGAGACGGCTGTAGGATAAAGTTATATATTAGAAATTACAAATAAAATCGTATTCCTATTTTAGGGAGATATTCAAATTTTTTTTTGTTAACTTTGAGGATAAAGAAATACTGCAAGAGTCCGCAAGACATATACAAAGGCTGTCTTGTTTTGATCTGTAGGTTGATTATTATTAGTTTACTGATACACGAGTTCAATTATACTTCTCATCCCTATATAATAAGAACAACAATAATGATAACGGTGATAATATACGACGTCGTCTTGTACTTATGCACGTGCGTCCATAATTTCTCCCGAAGCCCGTCACTATTCTACGCATCACGATGTCTTTGCCTGTAAAGTAATGTTAGGTTAGGTTAGCTAACCTAACTATCGCACGATCGCAACAATTGCATGTCAATTTTTTTTTTTTATTGTGGAACGATGGTATTGACTGAGTTATAATAATATTATTACTTATATCGTCACTCTATCGAAGTTGGTGACGGATTTGTTTGTAAAAACAAATTTGGTTAAAAGTGTGCGAGCGCATTGGGCAATGGTCGTTTGGGCGAAGGTAGTCATTTTGAATAAATAATAAGTAGTAAATTTGGGCGAATGAAATTATTTTTACCTGTGTGTTCTTTTGTTATCTTTTGACCGCACTTTAAATTGGGGGGCTGAAAATGTTATCATAAATAAGACGGGAGACTCCGTCCTTCCTGGTTCCCCCTTCCACTTTAACCACTGGTTTTACTCGTGTGTATTTACTCCTGCAGCAGTATACGCGTGTTCTTGGATCGTTTCTTTAATATAATATATTTTGCTAAGATCGTCGTCGTTTGCGTTTATAATTCTTGTATAACACCAATACATTATGTACTTACAAAAAATAACTGAAAATAAAACGAAAAGATCGCGTTTTCGTTGTTACGTACGATTGTGGCAACGCGTCTATTACAAAATCGCATACATACTCGTAATACGTTGCCGTATGTATAACAACAATCATAATGATAATGATAATAATTTTATTACTTACTGCGCGATTGCCGGTGTTCTCGTGAAAAGTGAAAACGACATCGAGTCGTATACCTATCGCGTGTGTGCCGTAATACCATGTACATAGTACGTACGGCCGGCTTTAGGTAATTCTGTACACACACAACGCATTATAGGTATACGTCAAGACGCGCGTGATTGGTATTTTGTCGTCACACGATGCCGTTTTTTTAGTATTATTTTCAACTTTTAATCGATCCGAAACACTCTTATAGACTATTTTACAGACTTTTACCGTCCTAAAAACGTACGGAAACGCCTATAAACGGGTGAAAAATGAAATATTAACAGCCCTATACCCACACATAACAATACAATGTGTTATTTCCATCTAGGCCTATAAAGAAATTGACCGATAGCTGATAGAGAGAGAGCGAGGTTCGGGGCTAACATTGTTAGATAAATGTAGATTATATACGACTTGTTATCTATAGGTATAGGCGTGCGCAAACCTCAATTACAGGGGTGGTAGAGGACTATTTTAATCAAACAATATACGCTAAATGAATATTGTATACAAGTATCCCAATTGTATAGTAAATATTAAATACCATGATACTCAATCAAAATAATTATAAATATAATACATAGGTACCTGATATTTGTCATGTATGCTATGTAATTTTTAAAACAAAGCGATACGTTTTACATCATAGGCCATTAGAGGACCACTGTAGGCAATGTGAGTGGGAAGTTGGGAAGGTAGAATGTATAAGATAAAATGGTAAATTATTGCAAATTAAAAAAATACGAGTACGCATAGCTACTCCTAAAAGGCCAGAATATTTTTAAAATTCTATTAAGTCTAGAAAGTGCTTATACTTGTTTAAGGAAATTCATTAGATGAAATGTACAAGTCTCTAAGAATATTGTTTACTGGATTAAATGAAAAAAAAAAAAATATTTAAAATACCACTAACCGCTATTACGTAAATATTCTATTTTTTCTTGATTTTTCTCCAGTATTAACTCTTTCACTACCCTTGGATACTCCAGGATATTAAAAATATGATAACGGCATAACTGATAACGATGAAAAACGATAATTTCGTAGCTACTCCATGCCCGTACACTTTGTTCGCACGCGTATAAACGGTAGATAAAGAGAGAAAAATGGGTAAAATCCTAACAGCATTGCTATAGAAAATGATAGTGAACAGTGAAGGTCCAATAACCGTATGCCCATTGGCTGTATATTCCATAATAATACCTACCAGGCAATTCAGGAAGGTAAGGTACGGGAGACCGATAGAGAGTAAATTTAAATTTGCAAGTTTTTAAGCATTTATGTTTTATTGAAATCGGTTCGCTATATCGCTTATGCGTCGTTGTAGTTAGTTTTGGTGAAGGTGTTTATTTCAATAACCATATATTTATGCGAAAATAATGTATGGCACTTGCACATTATTTTTATTAAGCGTAAAAATAAAACACCCGTCACGTGGATTAGCGGCTGAAACAATCCGCTTGAATATAATGTTATAATATAGTATTACGAAAACTAACTATCGCGTAAAACAATTATTGTTACTACGTTAAATTACAAATGTGACAAAAACTCAATCGGTACGTTACAGTGCATTAATTTAAATCTAATATTAAATATCGGTAAATGCCCAGTAGTTATATACTTATATACCTGCCTACTGATTTTTGTGTAATAATTAATTCGATAATGCTTCGGAATACATCGAATTATTTCGAAAAACAAATAACGTTAACCGCTACGTAGTTAGTAATAATAATATTTGTACGTTCACTATTGCACGGTTTAAAAGTTAAGTAATCGTTACATTTTAGTACAATATTGTTAAAATACAAACATAATAATTGTGTGTACTTACTTACAATGCATGGCGATAATTTGAATGCACTGCAGTACGAAGACATACTATAAACTGCACGTTCTGCACGTCACGTAAGTAGATTGAAATATTTAATTTTTCATAATATGTATTTATTATATTTAAGGTGTGTGGTGTACGGTACTTACTAAAGGAAATGATTTCAATAATAATTACATATTTACATTACGTTTGTAATAAGTATAGTTGGACGATTTTTCCATTTTTTAAACTTAGAATAATTTATTAAATTTTTAAGTATTAAAACCATTCAAGTCTACAGGAATTTTTCATATTCTATAACGGTGTGCCCAATTGCGGCCAACCACGAGCCGAATCCGATCTTCAAAAGTATAGGAAATATAAATTGGAAAAAAATTTAATTTATTAGTTTATCTAGACATTTTTTCTAAAAAAATGCCTTTTTTTTTTTCTATTGCTTACACAGTCAATAACGTAAGTTGTTAATTGGACATGACAATCTAGCGTTATCGTTGTAATGTCGCTTAATAATAGAATAAATATTATCGTGTTTATCAAACATTAACATTATATCCATCGCCAATATCGATTTAATTTTTCTTGGTTTCGAGCTATCTTGTTATGTGCTGTGCAGTCTAGAAAGTCAAAAAAAAAAAAAAACCCGAAAATCGGCTTCGAACATCTTGTTTTTCGAGATCAGTGGGAAAACTATTATTATTTTTTTTTTTAAATTTCTTCTTTATTTTTAAATTAAATCGACAAATCTGAGTATTACCATTTCGAATATTGCGTATAGTAAGCACTCAAACTAAAAAATAAAAAGAAGAAGATTGATGTGTATTTTTAAAAATTTGGTACACCGGCATTAAAAATATACTTACACGCGAATTTGAAAATCGTTTCAAACACATTTAATGAAAGAATATTATCAATTTATTTGAAAAAACTAATCGAACATAATATAATGTAATAATTATTTAAAATCATAATCATGATTCAACCTCTGAAAATCTTGTTCAAATTTTATTCAAATCAATCAATCTAAAGAAAACTTCCTCAAACGTTTTCAGCCTAGAAATCAACTTATATTCCATATAGGGTGATCAGAATAACGTAAGATACTATCATTATCTTGGAAAGTATTGGCTTTTTCGGAATTTGCTATTCAGAACATTTTGGAAATGAGTAGCTCTAAACGGTTACGTTAACTGTTTTTTTGTCACCCTTATTTTAGAGGTTGAACTATCTATTTTTTATTTTAAAATGATAAATGATATTAAAATATTCCGTAAAATAGTTTGAGTATTAGTTTAAATACATTTTGGTGTTAACATTTTTAATTTCCTTCAACCAGTTAACGAACTACATTTCAATTTCGGCGTGGGTAGAGTGGTGGAGTATTATTTGTGTGACAGCACAGTGGGCGACGTTTCAATAGTGTTCCAATCAAAATCAGATACTGATTTCACTCCCAAAAATAAGGTGACAAAAGAAAGAATAACGTGAAATTTTTTAAATGTTCTAAAAGGTGAATTCCAAAAAAATTTAATTATTTCCGAGATAATGAGTGTCTTACGTTACGTTGATCACCTTGTATATTCGTTTCAACATAAACGTTTAACATATGTATTGACGAGTATTTTCGATTATAAAAATCGATAAAAGTAAAACTCGATCTCGCATAACAATAGTGAACATCGTGTCGTTTTTCGGGTGAGTTTTAGTAAATTAGAACCCAAATATTGATGTTCTCTGCGAACAAAAACACGATCAGCATTCAAATTGAACTAATTTTCATAGTAATTATTGAAGAAAACAATATTATTACATTTAAAACGTATTTTTATACAAAGAATACAAATTTTATAATTTCCATTCGAAACGATCAATTTATATTAATTAGACATTAGGCGCATGTTTTAGTTTCGGTTAACTGAAAATTGTTTAATTTTTGGCCCGTCAAGATAATTTTTTTTTTCCCACGGCCCTCGGTAAAACAAAACGTCGATTGCCACTGCATAGACACTGCATTATTATATTTTAACGATACCTATTGATATAGGTACTTAATATTATTTTGCTGTATCGGCTCGAGTGTAGGTACTTAATACGAAATCATCGTGGCCATACGATATTATAGATTTCGATTTAACAACGATTACTAAATATTATAAACGTTACGTTATGTCGCGTGTTAATCAAATTCAGTTTTGTAAATAATATATTGTTGTCGCGGGTACAATACGCGATCGTGTGCCATATATTATTCGTTATTGTGCAGTATACTAACGAAATAAAAAAAAAAAAAAAATAATAAATAAAACAAACTTATAAATTATTCATTTACGTAAGTCGGTACACACGAAATCATTTCTTTGTTGTTTGTTGAATGTACTTGTATATTATAAATACACACACACACACATATATATATGTACATTTAACGATTGCGCATAATTAATTTCCACTTATATTAAAATATTATGCTTATGTAAACAACCTGCGAACGTTTTTTTTTTTTTTTTTCTTCTTCTCCCGATTGTAATTAGATACTTTCGTAGTTTTCGTACCGATTACACAATCGGTAGACGAATACTATTATATTATGTTTCGGATTTATAACATATCATAATAATCTATAGTTTGATTGTGTAAATCACGGTGTCCATGAATACATTGGAGGATTTCCTGTTTGTATACTTTCAGAACCAGAAAATCGGTCACCCAATTTGATACCGTATCCGAATTACGAACATAACCGTTTGGCCTCGAACACGACCGAACGCATAGTGTCGGTGTTCCGCGTTAACGTGGACGCGTGCGACCGGCTGTGGCTGGTGGACACCGGTCTGGACGACTTCTTGGGCGCCAGCAATCAGGTGCACCCTCCGAAAATCATGATATTCGACCTGAACACCGACACCCTAATTAGGCAATACACGTTCAAGTCCGCCGACATAACACCCGATTCGTTTTTCGCCAACATCATCGCCGACACGACCAAAGACACTTGCGACGACGCGTACGCGTACGTCCCGGACCTGGGCGGTTACGGGCTGGTCGTGTACAGTTTCGCGACAAATACCTCGTGGCGGGTTAAGCATCATTATTTCCATTTCGACCCGTTGGCCGGTAACTTCCACGTGGGCGGCCAAAACTTCCAATGGACCGACGGTATATTCGGCGTGGCCCTGTCACCGGTCAAGGAAGACGGTTTTAGAACGCTGTACTTCCATCCGCTGTCCAGCACCCGGGAATTCTGTGTGTCCACACATATCGTACAGAACGCCAGTATCGCTTCGGACAGTTATTACGAGTACAAAGTGCTCGGGTCCAGAGGCCCGAATACGCAGGCCACGTCGTCCTCGTTGGACGAGAACACCGGCGCCATGTTCTACACTCAAGTGAACAAGGACGGCGTCGGTTGCTGGAACTCGTTCCGGAACGCGGACGAGTATTCGGCCGACACAAACTTCCTAGTGGCGTCCGACAGTCAGACGATGGAGTTCCCAAACGATCTCAAAGTGGACAAAACGGGAACCCTCTGGGTGATCTCGGATAAACTGTCCGTGTTCCTGTTCAAGGGCCTCGACCTCAACGAAACGAATTACAGAGTTTTTAGCGCCCCCGTCGTTGACGTTATCAAGGGCACCGTGTGCGACATTAAATAGACGTGACGTCATAAACCGTACTCAAGTATTGTAATATGGCACATTGAAAAACTTTGGTTCCTTATATCTCACGAAATTATGGGTACCTGCTACACTTAAACAACTCAATACACGGTTTTTTATTTTACTAAACCTATAATAGTATTATTATTTTATACAATTTTTTTTTTATAAGTTAGTTTTGAATAATATTTTATTTGCGTTCTAGTAAAATGTGCGTGTATAATTATTCACATTTTTTTAACATTGAATACAAATTCGTTTTAAGACATAGTATATTATACTTGTAATATAGTATACAATAGAATATAATAAAAGTCGGATTTTTTTTTACTGTTAAATATTTCTTTTTAGCGTTATTAATTAGATCCTAAAAACGTTTAGATAGCTGATGACTAATTTTAATGGTATTTTTCGAAGAAATTGAAAACACTAATAAGTTCATGTATAATAATATTACTTAACAATTGTTTGTATTTTCGTTTAGCAGTCAGTAGAATAACAAAATACCCGTTATTATAATATTTTTTTAAGGAGTAGAAAAAATAGCAATTACTCAATAAATTAAACTGCGCGCATATATCTCAAAGACTGAGTTTTAGTATCTGAGTATCTGGACAGTTAATAATCGTAATAACATAGTATTATCATACAGAAATCGAAACAATCATACTAGTTATGTTATTACTATAATTGTGTGTGTTATCAATTTCCGAAAATTTTTTTAATGAAATACATGATAATATATCATATATACCTAAGACCAGTGGGGTGCCTGGGAATTTTCGATGGGAGGGGATGTTTTGAATAAGAAACGCGTATGAATCGTAAAATCGCTTCCTCCATCTGACTCGACTAAGGGAATGGAAAAGCCGGACCTTAAAGAAACCCAATTTCTAATCAATACATTTTGCTCATAACTTAGTCGAAGTACGTATATTATACATTTCGAGATTAAATTACTAAATAAATACTTCTATTTTTCTTTTTTAGTTTTAAGCCGATAATGGGGGGGGGGTGGTAGTGTAGTCCCTAACCTCTCCCCGCTGTATAAGACGGAATAGTTTTAAACAACAATATAATATAGTCTTGCTATTTTCATTATTTTTCCTTACAATTTATTTCATTCTATTCATATTATACTGTACATTCGTCTTACACGATAACAATATCGTTATACCGTACGAACGGCAAATCGTATTTTATCTATAATAGTAAATTTATCTCAATAAAAAGAAAAAACAACAATGATAAAATACTCTTCCCTAACATATTTACTATCGTGTTAGTGCCGTTTTCTTCGTGGTCGATACGTTCTCGTATTTTGATCCTTGATCTGAATATATTTTACTCCTATAATATATCGGTAAAGATTTGTACTTAACATAATTGTTTATTTGATTTTAAATACTCTAGTGTTATAGAATACAGTTTATAATTTAATAACGTCTATTACTGCCGTCACTATTGATGTATTTAATAAGGTTTTGATTTTCTGATAACTGCAGTTGACAATTTTAGTTTCAAATATAATTTAAGTTTTTTTAGATTCTGAGCGCGATGAGAAATTTGTTGGGCTTAATAATTAAATTTTCTCAGTTCCCGTATATTATAATTTAGCTACCTTGAAAATGTCGAAACGCATTAAACACTATGGGAAAAAATGCGTGGAAGCGTTCAAATTTTAATTTTGAATTAATTAATATACATCTCAGAAATGATAGTACAACAATGGCTTGCGTTTCAATGACCCCTTTAAAAACTGACCTATCTGAGGAAACGTTATGACGTCATAACGTACGCACGTGTAGCATTTGTTTTTTTTTAAACGTTCGCCTACTTAGTGTACTAATATTTAGCTTTGGATACCTTTTTAATGGTGTTTTAAAACAGTATCTATGTTGTATAGCTAATTAATGTTTAAGTATGACTATTTCTGTGAAATCTAGGAGATTTTTATTTATTTAAACTCGTTTTCTCAGCAACTCCTTTAGGCCAACCCACGAATTGATTCTTATATTCCATGCTGTACATTTGCAATTTGTCGTTATTTTAACACTTTATTCAAATGTCCTGTAAAATTTTTCACCAATGTTGCTGACAGATAGTAGTACTTTAAAAAACACTGTCTTTATTTAAATCCGGGCATTTATTTACTATCAATATTTTAAAATACGAAATCTTATATGCAATAAAAATGACTAATGCATAATTTTGTATTTAATTAAAATTGTAATTTCATCAATTACAAGTTAATATTATTGAATTACATTGTCTACCTACATTGTTGTTTGAAGTAACCAGCTAAGTCGAATGAAAATTAATTTCTATAAACAACTAAAATAAATAGTTCAAAACATAATTCAACATACAGAATAATTTGATAATTTTAAATATTTTATAGTCTACACAATTGTAGATATTTGATAATTAAATACGAATTACCCGAGTTCAGCAGTAATTTTTGTAAAATCCTATATAATTGTGTTTGTCCGTATAGAGTGTTAAAAAATATATTGTTGAACTTTAAACTATAAAATATTTTTTATCACAATATTTGGATTTATTCTACAAGTTTTTTAATTTGAATTTTATCACGTGATGTTCTTTTCACTACAATATTTTAATATTTAGAACGAATAATACACGGGAGTTCATTGACAACGGTGAATTTACATTAAAAAAAAAATAAAAAAGATTTGAAACAGGTAAGTACAAACTTAATGATATTAATAATTCGTATTTATGTTTTAAAAATATGCAGCAGGCATTTAAGAATATATCACTGAAATTGGGTAATCAGGCATATTGCTTATTATACTACGATTGAGTGTATTTAGAAACCAGACTAATATCGCGGTGGTGGATACGTTTGGTGTTAGTATGGTTTCTGCGAGTAGAAAGAAGAACAAATACGGTATTGAAATTAAAGCGCGCCAATCAATTCCATTGTAAGAATATTGATATTTTCGTTTATACAGCGTCTTCTCCTTATACCTCGCCTATTTTACTCATTTATTTCTAGTCGTTCACCGTGGTCCTTAACTCCACCATGTGTCGGTCCCTCTTTTTACTTATTTTCATCCACACGCATTCTTAAAACACCTCTTACAACCTCTGATTCGTCTCTTTTCATTAAATGCCTGAATTAAAGCTCTCATCCTTTCAAAAATCGTAACAACGCCTATTTATGTTACGCTTTACAGACTCATCCCTTATTATATCACCTCTAGTGTATGCACTCATTCATCTCAACATTCTTATCTCTACTCTACTCATCTCTTGTCATAAATTGTTGTCCACTACATTCTAATAATTTAACCTTACCATACTTCATCGTCGGTCTCACGACGGTTTTGTAAAATTTATCAACCATTATAATAGGAGTCCTATCTTATTACACTGTACCCCTGATGCATATTATATCCATTTCATTTAACCATATTTAATACTTTTGTTTTCTATTCTATTAAAATCTATCGTTCCTAAATAAAATGATCTTACATACTCTAACTTCACCTACTTTATCCTCACTCATCGTCATACCTTTCCTTCACTCACCCTCATTTTACCCAAAATTATATTCTATATACTTTGTTTTATTTATACTAATCCTTAATTCTTTTTCTTTCGTTTATACAGTGTAGTGATAAAATATTGTACTACTCGAACACACACATACATAAAAACATACATGCATACATACATACATACATACATACACATAGATAACGGATACACAATCTACAAGAATATACCGGTCCTGCGATAACCTGACGATTGCATTTTGTAGGTTCGAATCTAGACCAGTCTCCGGCACTTATACCATACCCGAACTTCGAGAACAACCGACTGCCCAGTCCCGGGGAAGCGGCCAACGACCGGATTATCAGCGCTTTCCGGATGAGCGTCGACCAGTGTGACCGGCTCTGGTTGGTCGATATGAGGGACTCGAACGGTACCAGTTTCGGAAATCCAGAGCTGTTCGTAATCGATCTAAACACGGACCAGGTGATTCGACAGTTCACTATCACAAATGACGTGATGAACAAGGACGGTGGATCGTTTTTCCCGGGTTTGATAGTCGACGTGGACCCGAGGGCGTGCGACCAGGCGTTTGCTTACATAGCCGACATTCACTGGGGCATGGTGGTGTACAGTTTCTGGGAGAACACGGCGTGGCGATTGGCGCATCATTACTTCTTCTTCGACCCGTTATCCACGTCGCTTAACATCGGAGGCGTCTCGGTACTTTGGACGGACGGCTTGTTCGGAATGACCCTGTCCGAATACCACTCAGACGGCTACCGGACGCTCTACTTCCAGGCGCTGGCCAGCACCAGGATGTTCTCGGTGAACACGCGTGTTCTTCAGTCCAACGCTAGCCTGGAAGATACGTTTGACCATTATCGGTTCATCGGTTGTCGTCGCGCTGGCATGCAGGCGTCCACGATGTCCATGGACCACGAGACGGGAGCGATTTTTTACCCACTCGTCCATCAGGATGCGGTCGGCTGCTGGAATCCGAAACGGTCCCAGTGGCTTTCGTCCCAAACATCGGCCGTGGTGGCCCAGGACCCGGAAACGCTCCTGTACCCGTCCGAACTCAAGGTGGTCAATTCTAACCTGTGGGTGATCAGTGATAAAATGCCCGTGTTCCGGTTCCGGGTGTCTGACATCGACTTGAACCGGGTCAATTACCGCGTGTTCAGCGCGCCCGTCGCCGAAGTCATCAGGGGAACCGTTTGCGAGCCGGTCACACATCACGAATATCCGCAAAACGGCGAGACCGCCGGCTATAATCAATGGCATCATCAGTATACGGTGTGATTGCAGCCGTCACAGTAGTCGGCACGATAATAATTACATAACGACGTGAGACGCTCTTCAAATACTACCCATGTCCGGAGTGCAGACAACCGCAGATCCACTTGGTCGTCCCGCCATATTTTGTACAGAACCTATTGTTTACAATCTGTGTTTAAATTATTATTATCATTATTATTAACTTGATATTTACATACAATCAAAAAGTAAATAATCAAAATACTAGATGTTCGGCATCTAGTCAAACAATAAACAATCAAAATATTTTTAATACGTGTTTTAGTTGTACGATAATAACATTGAACTGGTCGGTCGAACAACGGGAAGGGAATTTATTATATTACTATGTACGCGTCGGTGTTAAAAAAATAAAATCAAAGAAAAAGCTCATGTATTTACGGGTGAAAATCGTCCAGTAAATAGTATTGGCATCATTCAATACGATGAACTTTAATAATTAGTGTTAACATTACAAATAATATTTAGGTAAGTGTTGTGCCGTTGACGTTTCGGACTATTCAAAAGGAACTGAGTTCCACCAGTTATTTTTCTTCAATTTTTTTTTGAAAAAAACAAAATTATTTTAACCTATTAGACACATCCAAGAGTTGCAGTTTGCAGGAACGCGCGAGTCCAATAATGCACACGAAAACCACGATCAAATTAAAATTGGCTTTTGAGTGAAAAAAAAAAAATAAATAAATAAACGTCCTAGTTTGTTACAGTCAGTGGTTTTGTGCAATATGTTTTATTAACACGAGCATTGGACAATTTCACAAAATAAAGTATAAATTATTATGCAAACGTCAATTTTGTACCCGTAGATTAACATTAATGCCATGCGATTAATATAAATTATAAACGCAATGAAGCATTGATAAATATTAGACGATGTGATAGTTAATATTTATTAATACTCGTCGCTATGTAATATTATTAACAATGGCAAAGATTTTTAAATTCGTTTTTGTTGAAATGCTCTTAAAAATATTAATAGCGTCTAAAATGCCGAATGCCTTTGTTGCATTTAGTATTTTAATTTTGAGCCTTCGTAGTATTGAGTAACCCGTATTGGCATTTTATGAATGTGCTGAATTCCCGAGCCAATATAACAAGAATATTTCGTAAAAATGCTGTTCTAAAATGAAACGTTCCTAGTATTCGATATTATTGTTTTTACAATAAATTTACTTGCGCTTGAGAAATCTCAATATGTTGCTGTGTACTTCGTATTTTTCACAAATTAATTTTGTCTCGAAAATATTTCGTCAAAGCCGCCGCCGATTTCATTACTGCAGTTTTATTGTATCTAAAATGTTATTACTGATGGCGTATACATGTCAAAAGGCATGCATTTTAATATTGAAACAATATAATATACACGACTTACTGCACATAGAGGCGATCCTAAGGGGAGGTTTGGGGGGGGGGTCTGACTAGGATCACCTCTGATTGCACATATCATCAGCTGTGTACACTGTATAAAACGGGTATTTATTTAAAAATCGTGAATGTAGACGTCTGGAATGCCTAAATGTTGAAAGCACAAACTCAGAGCCTAGGGATTTACGGATATCTAAATTTGGATACAAACTTGGAATGCACTGTAGGTTTCGATATTTGTACATCCTCAGATTCTAGGTTCGTAATTTCCGAATTTGTACGTTCCATATTTTATATTCCACACTTGTAAATGTCAGGTTTTTACAAGCTCTCGTATAAAATAGTATAACTGAATTAATCACGTCTCAAGTCTCTCATATTATTTCTCTTGTAACGAACGTATGACACATTCTCATTCTACCAAGTTATTATATATATAATTCAATTAAATTGTGCATTCATTTCATAACATATTCCTAAGTGAATTCTTATTCACGCCATCTACTATTAGTAATATCACCGTTTAATGACGACGACTTTACGACCGTGTTGAATGGACGCGCGTTTCAGAATTTCCCACGTTCACTGCCTGTAGATCAGGTAAATCTATTGCCTGAGTTCTGACGCACGGCGGTTAAAAAATGACAATAGATTGCCAAAAAAAAAAAAAATTTTAATTTTTGAACACTGAAAGATGTAAGTTTACCGAGTTACGTGTCGAAAATAGAACCGTCTATGTTATTATTAAGAGGACGTATTCGTAGGGGTCGCGTATAGGCAATTTAAACGATATTTTTGAATATTTCGCATCTCAAATATTCAGATTCACACAATTTTTATGGGCGTTTTGCGTCTTTTCAAGCCACAATCTAATAACTGAACTATTACATACTTCATTAAAGCTCTTTGTTATTTTATTTGCTTGTTTTATTTTTAAACTGAGCGTCTGTATAATATATTTATTTGTGTACATTAATTCATCAAATTTATCGTTGACGAATCAATGCATTTTTATTTTAACCAACGTCACAAGCCGTTGTAACCGAAGTACATATAAAAAACAGTTTGACCTTAAATTCGTATCTACACGGAAGCATCCGAACATTTGTGGCTTGAAGCTGATTACACAGGTTTCAATGATATCCGAATCGAGGTCAATCGGGTGTGCACACACCCGGGCTCACCCGGTATAATATATGTTTATGACTTCAACACCGGAGCCTTTTATCTCTTTTGCATAATAATGTGATCGCTGCAGACACGACCAGAGATTGTGTGTTCGTACATGTATCAACGTCGTATTCCGGATAAACTGTGTAACAATGTCTGCAGTTTCAGAAACCGGTTCCGAAACGCGACGCGAGGCGAGTTGGGCGGCTTCCTAATCACAGACATTAGTGTTCAGAAACGGACAAAACAGGAACGCTTCGAGCGCTTCCGTACATAACCCTATTAAGTACCTATAATTAACGGGGACCATGGGCCCTTCCATTGGCCGTAGTTTTTTCAAAATACTTTTGTTATAATCGTTCCGTGTTTATGCTATACTTCATTGTGGTGTATGCGATTTATATTCTCATATGTTGTTGACTAAGTAAGTATATAATATATTTTTAAATGTAATAAAAAAAAAAAAAAAAATAAACGTGCAATTTCGGGTTTGTTTGTTTTTTTTGTTTTTCGACCCATCCATTGAGAAGTCCTGGATTACGCGCCACTATGTATTATATTTGGTATTTTGTACGGGGACTTGTTATCCGGAGACAGTCGATTACGTCTCAAAGTCGGGTAAACAAAACATCGAATATAATAATGTTGTCTAATGTGTCCGACGAAATTTCGATTGCGCCTGGTTTCAAGCAACCTATAGGCATTCGAATTTCAACGGTGTCCGACGAAATCTCAATGCCTTTTTATGTCTTTCTTAAATTACGCCATAATTTGTAAATTAGGTAAGCGTTCGATAAATTGCGTTAATACGAGTATTTCTATTGCGTCTGATAAAATTTGTACCACTCTGCAATAACAATATGTCAGTGTACACATATTAATTATCAATATTATCGTATTATAGATGTTATAGGTCAATTTTAGAGTGAAAATAAAAATACAAAAACCTTTATATAATATATTTTATCATCATTTATTTGTTATTACAAATTCACAACTAAAGATTTGTTTATAGTATTGCGATAACAAAATCATTAGAAATTGTACACAGCATAATAAAATATTTATTTATACAACAAATTTATTTTATACAAATCTATAACACTTATTTGTCGACACAGCTCCCGTGATTTTTCAGGCATTTGTCACAGCGTGGTATAAGTTTTTATAAACCCTCTTCATAGAATATTGCTGCCTGTGCAGTCAAAAATGTAGTAGCGTGTTTTTTCAGCTGTTTCATCGCTGTTGAAACGCTGACCACCAAGAAAAAACTTCAGATGTACAAACAGATGAAAGTCATTAGGAACGAGGTCGGGGCTGTGCGGAGAGTGGCCAAAAACGTTCCAGCCAAAGCCCTGTAGGAGTGTTTTTGTCGCATTCGCAATGTGTGGTCGGGCATTGTCGTGGATGAAACTACGCCGTTTTTGAGCGTTCCTCGGCGCTCGTTCTGTATTGAGCGGCGCAATTTCTTAAGCGTCTCGCGATAAGCATCTTTATTGATTGTTTCATCTCGTAGCAACAAATCAATCAGTAAGATGCCTTGTCTGTCTCAATTTCACAAGCGGTGGGATTTACGTTCAACTCGGCCATTATGAACAAGCGCTACGAAGTACACACACACAACCAATAGCGAGCTCACACCGGCGTAATTTCGTTTTAGTTAATACAGAGTGCTTGTCGAGCTTATGCAGCACTGCCGAGGGAAAAAATGGAAACGGAACTTATTTTCTGGACATACCTCGTATATATTATACATAATTGTATAAATAGCACTAACTATACGAAGACCCGGAGAATAATTCACTGAATCCGTAGCCCGTAGGTTTATATGTAAAACCGGAGTATTCGGGTGCAACCCTACTTACATCCCGAAATAGTTTAAATTCTAATTGATGTTTGTCTGTAAATCAAAGTCGATTTCTTAAATTTAAAACTATGATATTAGAAAAATATGCAGTTTAATGTAAGTTTTAGTATAATTGAAACAATACGCGAACATATTTTTAACTCAGCTCAACACAAATATCAAATTAATGAACATGATATGGAAACTACTAAAAATAAAAGGACAATAGACAAACCGTTTATTTATTTTACATTTACTTGACTTTGGGACCCAATTGAAAAAGGGACGTAATTGAAATTTTGTATTTTTTTTTATCTGGTTTTTGATGTATAGAAAGAAATATTTATAGATATTCGAATAGTTCTCTTATGAATTTTATAAAGAACTGAAAAATACTGTATTAATAATAATATAATATCATATTATATACAGAGATACAGGGAAAACTGAACAAAAATCGAATTTAAAATTTAAGTCAATAAAAAAAAATAATACATTTATATACCTAGGTGTACTAACTTGTAGTATTAGCATCAGTATATTAAATATAATATTTATTATCTTTTCAGTCAAATTTCAATATAACTAATTTAATATTTTTAAATATTTTCTTAATATAAAATAGAGCCATTACATTTACATATTATTTTAATTAAAAAAAAAAAATCCCAAAAACTGTTAAACTGAATTTAGGTGCTAAGTGGAGCGAAGAAACTTATGGTTAGTTTATTATTATTATTATTATTATTTTGTTTTATCTGTAAACAATTTTTATACAAGAAATATTGCTCCGATTTTTTAAGTGTAGCACTTTTTCTGAAAGAAAATCCGACTGGAGTATTCCTTTAAGAAGGTCAATTTTTTGATTTTCTCAAGAGTTTTCTCAATATATTGAAAAAAAAACGGAGGAAAACCGGGAGAACGGAAAAATAGATACATTTTAAACAAATATGATCAAAGAAAATGTTTAATGTACGTACATCTGTAATTATTTTACCATAGTATGGCATACATATTGTTGACAAAACAACACTATTAACTGAAATTTTAATAGTAATAGTTTATCGTTGCTTATAGATACACTTACATTAAATTCCCTTCTATATCTTACCTTTTCAACTTCCCACGTACAACAGTGGCTGCACTCACGTGCGAAGTGTGTCTTTTTTTTTTTAATATCAAATTCAAAATTATTTAGATATACGTTTTTTCCAAAATTAAATAGCAGTGGAAATAAAGATTCTTGATAAGAAAAAATAATAACCAATTTAATGGATATTTATTGAATAATATTGAATATTTCAGATACTTGAGTACTTTTATTTTAGCAATAGGTAACAGATAATATAATATCTATGTATAGAATATTCAACATTTTTCGATTTTCTAATAATTCTGAAATGTTTTCCTTTTTTCCTCTGAATTTTCACTCCATTTGGCACCACTGGGTCTTTGGTACGGTGTTTCTTTTAAGAACTTCTTTCCTACTTGGCTTCTAGTAACTGAGAACAATGGAACTAAGTATTAATTGCTGGTTATTACCCCTAGAAATTCAAAAAATGTCGAATTGTCGCTTAATTCTTATTTTACGTTCAAATATTTCTTTTGGCTATGATCTGTGGATGCTGGTTTACAGATATATACTAATCTCACGGACCAATTACAACGTCTACTACAGTGTCTGCATCCCCTGCCAATAAGTCATGCAGATATAAAACAGAAATATGTAGACATATAGCCCAAATTATGTTTTTTTTCTTTCACTTTCAGAAGGTTGTGGCGTGGTGTGATGCGCTATGCCGCGGTAATAGGTCTAAATTGGTCCGAACGCTCTTTTTTTTTATCTTAATCGCTCCTTTTTTGTCTTCTTGTTTTTCTCCATTACGTCTTGTGATTTTTCACTTGAGGTCTTATCCTCTAATAGATTTAAGAATAATACTAATGTGTTATTTTTTATAGGTACAGAAAAAAACCGTTCTCCATTGCTGGTTCCATACCCTAATTACGAGATGAACCAATTACCCAGCCGGCGGAATTCATACAACCGAATAATCAACACAGTCCGAGTAGACGTGGACGAGTGCAACCGACTTTGGGTGATAGACATGGCGTCAGCCAATGGGACGTCTTACAGCGAACCGCAGCTGTACGTGATCGACCTGATCACGGACCAGGTGATCCGGCAGTTCACCGTCACTGAGAACCTGAGACGCATGGACGGTACCACTTGGTTCACTGGTCTGATAGTGGACTCGAACCCGAAGTCGTGTAACCGAGCGTACGCCTACGTGGCTGACATCGGGTGGGGCCTATTGGTGTACAGTTTCCGAGACAATAAGGCATGGCGGATGGAACATCCTTACTTCTATTTCGACCCACTGGCCACCGTTTTCAACATCGGCGGCGTTCGGATGGAGTGGCTAGACGGCGTGTTCGGACTGGCTCTATCGGAACAGCATCAGGATGGATACCGAACTCTGTACTTTCACTCGCTGGCCAGTACCAGGATGTTCTCAGTGAACACGCGACTCTTGCAAACCAACAGTAGCGTGTCGGAAACGTTCGACGATTATCAGCGTTGTGGATATCGTCTGGCCAGTATGCAGGCTGCTTCAATGGCTATGGACCTGAGCACTGGGGCGATATTCTATGCGCTCGTCAACCAGGATGCGGTTGGCTGCTGGAACCCGAGACGGTACCAAAAACACTCAATGAACACTACCGCCGTGATAGCCCAGGACCCGGTCCGGCTTGAGTTCCCATCCGACATCAAAGTAGACTCCAGTTCTAATCTGTGGGTGATCAGCGACAGAATGCCTAGGTTTCGGTTCCGGATTCACGATTTAAATCTGACCGAAGTAAATTACCGCGTGTTCAAGGTGCCGATAAAAACGGCGATCAGGGGAACGGTCTGTGAACTGCAGGAGTTCGACGACGTGTTATTCGAACGGAATCTGGTAAATGAGTCTTCAGTACCGTCTGATACGTTCAAAACGAGGTCGGACACTCTGTAGTGATATTTATTAAATATTTTATTGTTTTTATATTAATATTCAATTGTTAAGATTAACGAAACGATATGTGATTTTTGTGATTCTATTATTATTAAGTTTAATACTACGAGCGACGTAACGAATGTTATAAAGAATAGGTTATACTCAGAGCATGAGATTCTTGGTCGGAATTCGCTACGTATCGACGCACTTGACACCGTTTACTAGCAGCATATAGTGGCCCATCACGTAGCTGACGCGTGAACTACGCGAGACGGCGATGGTTGACTGCGTGTGCGACAATACGCAGTTCAATAAATCACCACTTTGTTGGTAATCTATGGGCACAGGGCTGCTAGTAAACTGTGTTACGAGCACGGATCCGTAACGAGTTTTAACCGGACATGACCACATACAAATCTAAAATTTGATGTAAATCCGTTCTTATTATAACTGTGATCTTATTTATTGTAATTTTGAATTGAAAAAAAAAAAATAAACAATTGGATCAGGAATATACGAGTTATACATCCTATATAGTATTGTTTTTAATTAAAATCAAATAATTCAAATATCGTGTACTTAAATGTATTAAAAGGGTCCATTGCGTCCGTCGAGTTTCGTTTTCTAACGGTCCGTCCATATCGAGTCATCGTGTTGGTTAGTAGCTAGTAAAACAATTTACCGAAGACGAGGTGACGGCATTGGTAACACAAAAAAATCGATGGGACTTAACGCCTTATCGGTGACAAATGAAGTAATATGGAGCGAGGCCGTTTATTTAAAACTTAACGAGAATGATATAACAAACACAACAAAAAAAATAATTTAATGATAACAAGAAAATGTAGTAAATTAAGATAGTAATAATAAATTAATAAAATTGAATTATTACAAATATTAATATCAACACTATTGACGACGCCACGATTGACAGAATCGTGATAAAATGTATCTATTTTATCATGGACAGGATAATGCGGTTTGGTACATTGTTATACATTGACATTTTTTCATACTAGTGGTTAGAGTGTTTAATTAATTTAAACAAACAACCTAATTTTTTATTAGTTCTCGATCACAAAAATATAATGGTCTTAATAGGTGATATCCATTCATGGTTTTGTTATCTCCAAAACACGTGTTTAGATGACTGAACGGAAATTACCGATTTCATGTGCGAGAATAAGGTTCATATCATACAAACGGATAGCAATATCAATAAATTTCAACCCACATAACTGAGACACGGTGGTTAGTTCACGGATAAAAAATATTTCGCAAATATTCATGAATACATGAATGTATTATATCAGAATTCATAAAGGTTAGGCGTTCGTCAATATAATTTACATTTTTCCACGTCTATCTTCAATATAAAATAATAATTATTATTATTCAAATTTGTATGGAATTTTTTTAATAATCAACATAGTAATAACTACTATCGATTTTCATGATGCGAAATATCTACATGAGTACGTTCAGCAATTTCCATATTTGATCTAAAATTTTCACTTTATTATTTTATTATTATTATTATTATTATACTTAGCTTATATAATACCTAGTATATTTATTAAGTGTCTTGTCTGATTAAAAAACGAAAGAAACGGAGACACAAAAATATTATTTTCTAATAGTTTCGGTAAAAATAATTATATTCTCTTATATATAAAATT